TAAGAATTAAGAGAATAAAAATATTTAAAAGAAAAAACGGAATTTTAAACATGTCTCCGGAAACATGAATGTATTACTACAAAATTACTCTATGATGTAGAATACAATCGTAATAATAGAGAAATTAAAATATTATCTAATTCTACCACCCCATTTATTATAAAGGACTTACATACAAAAAACTTACATACAAAAAATCCAATACAAAGAAGAGCATAATAAACAAAACTTCAATTAAGTAAATTCCCTTTGTACAAGAGTTGAGAAAATCAAGGTATCTTAAACAAAGAAAATAATAAAAAATATGAAGTATACATCACATTGATTAAGATGGATATTTCGATAAAATGAACGATTATTCTGAACTTACTTCATGATCCTTTCATGACGCTTTATTACGTCGACTATCCAATCAAAATCATTCCAAATTTGAATAAATTTCTGGTGTTCTCGAAAAGGATGGCAAATTTTCACCCTGCAATAAATATATTGTAAAATAACATTATAATACATAAGATAAATCAAAACAATTCTAAGTCATCAGCATACCTTATAATACTTAATTGACAACACGCGTGATTTATCAATACCAAATAGGTGGAAAAACATATAATTGCTACAGATATTGATATATAGATTTCTGTTGCTTGGTAAATAAGTAAACTGTAATATATCGGCCCAAGGTTTAAAACATTATTAATAGAAATGGGTAAAGTTAAATTAACATTTTCCAATGTACCAAATTGATATGAAAAAATACTTAAGAAGCAGGGAGTTATTGTTGCAAGAAAACACAGGTTGAAGATAACTACAAAAACAAAACATACATACAAAAATTTCATTGTAGTATTGCGTATTAGGATTTTCGTGTAGTATTTCACGTTCATACCCACGATAGAAAACGTATATAATTTGCTCTCTTTAATATATTTTTCCGTAATATCAAATTCGTATTTATTAGACATATGCTCGTAATCAAATTTAATATGAGAAATAATTGATTTTATCTGAAAGTAAATTTTTTTTCTAATTATTTAAATCAATTTTCATCCATTAAAAAAAATATAATAAGTTTAAAATAAATGGTACGAACTTGTACGTATTTAAAGTAATAATTACTGTAAGTAAGCAGAAAACATATAGCTGCGAACATATAGTGCAGAACTTTGATAGATGTTGTTAGACGGACTTCTGAAATGGCGAGCTGATAAAACTGAAGTCAAAAAATCTTTATAATGCTTCATTATTGTCAATCTATGAGTTCTTATTCGCTCAACACACTGTAATACTTATTCAAACCAATTATATTTGACATTAATTTAAATAAACCCGCAATAAAAAACAATGATTATTATAATTCTAATAGGCATAATCAGGTACAAATTAACGAAAAATATATTTACTTGGTGTGCTACTCCTGGAAATAAATAAATAGTTATGATACACACTTGAAACAACAGATCTCTCGAATTTTGATAAGGTCTCAAACCCATAGTATATTGAAACAATTTGTTCGAAAAAAGAAAATGTTGCTCGAAGTAGGTAAGACCGCTCGCTACAGACATAATGAATATTCTGACGAAAATTGCAACGAGGTAAACACCACACTTCACGGTTCTTCCTTATTGCGCATTCAAATTGACCTTCATTACAGTCAATAGAACGATTTGGAAAACAATGAAAGGAAAATAATGTAAATGTCGATCGAATCTATAGCAACAATTCGCATAATATATTCCTCTCATACATTAACGTAGTATTGAACCCTTCCCGATACGAATCAAGTACATCGAAACATAAAAACATATGATGGTTCACGCAATTAAACGAGAGGAGTGATTGTTGCTTCTTCTCTTAATGAAAGACATGCGCAATGTGGTTTGTCGTACTGCAATCTTCTCAGTCGTCGTTCGACCGCGGAATAAGATACATGCTAAACCAGGCGTTACGAGGAACTAGACAGTAAAGTGAAATCGATATTATTGACAAGAGTAAAAGTGTGTCGTAAGTTATACGGAAATAAGAAAAATAGTAATCGATTATTTCGACTACCTTATGGGACATTTTCATTGAAATCAAGTATAAGATTTGATGAATATCTATATTTAAAGAAATCGATATGTAGGAAAATTTGTTGATAACGAAGTTAGACTATTACGAAACTGATAAGATGTTTCTTAATGTAAAAGAACTGTGCCACTGGAAAATGTGAATAACTAATCTTCCGCGATAAAATTCTGTGAATTCTTGAAGTGTCGTTGTTAATTTTATCGGAACAAAAATGAGGAGAGATATTTTGACTGAAATTGTTCTTAAGCATAATGTAAATTTCAATAATAATGAAAGTCGATCTATATGCAACAACTAATAGTAGACACATTTTATTTGTGCGGGAGGAAAGGAGTTCTTTTATTCGTATTAACAAATCATTGCATTTCATTTTCCTAAAATAAATTTTGCAGTTAGCATGCACTTTAATACACATTTACAAAAGAAAATGTTTTTTGCATTAACAAAAATAAAATATCGTTAATTAAAATAAATAAAATAATTAATAGAGTCTATAATTGTATGATGTTTTTCCGGAAAATAATTACTCAGATGAGGCAAATAAATCATGGATTGAAAGCCTGCACGGACTTATGCTTCTTGCTATTACGAATAACGAGACCTTTTGATTTCTTACAGAAAGAGAATAGAATGAACTTTTGTCTCGGTATAAATATAAAAGAAAAAGAAATATTAATTGTATGTTTTCATATGGAACAATTTGTCATTATGACAATATAATAACGCCTGAAATAAACTTTATTGATATTATCAACTAGATTAACTCTTATATAGTAATAATGATTTTTTTTAATTAATTATAGCCATTGAAAAGAAACAATTCCGTATAATTATTAGAATTCCTACAATTCTTCGTAAATTATGATATTATGATTTATAAGGTTTGTCCGACATAAAAATTAATACATGCTATTATTATGGAATTAACAATATAACACCTACCTATGATTATTTTGATCAAATTGTTGGGCATCTTGGACAATGGTTGACATATTTTCAATTTGCAATAACTACAATATAATACATTGTCAATTCTAGTTTAATTACTTAATAATACTTCCAAAAAATATAAACTAACATAATCGCGTTACATTATTAAGCTTAATTAAAAATATGCATATTGTATCATTACCAAATATGATGGAAATAACAATCTAGCTATAATTAATACGACATAGATTGTTAACGTTTCCCAAGATTTGAAACATAATTTATTGTAATAGGTAATTAACATTTTCCGATGTACCAATGTAGTATCAGAAAACATTTAATATACACGGAGTTATTATTCCAATGAAGGAGAGACTGAATATAACTACAAAATAAGGAAACAAAGAGAATACATATTAGCATTGTTGTGTCCGTAAATATTTTCATATAACTTCACATGATTACGCACGAAACAACACGTGAATGTTCTCCTTTGTTTCGTGTACTACTCAACAATGGTTAATTAATCGACAAAAAAAACTGCTAATAATTGTGTTTTAGATGAGCAAAAATTAACTTCTACTGGAGAAAGGAAAAACAAATGTTCTTCCTATCTAGTCAAATGTGTTTTAAAAACGAAATCGCAAAAAAAAAGAGGAAAAGAAAACAGAAAAAAGGCGACAAAAAGCTTAGCTACGTAAATACAAACTGATACGAAAATCATTCAAATAATATTTTAATTATACAAAATACATAATACAGAAAACATACTTTAGAGAGAGTCAATGGACGATTCTAATGTGATGCCTGTCGTAAAAGCTGATAAAACAATGAAACAAAAAATAAAGCTTATAAAAACGCTATAAAACAAATGGATTATTAGTATTTAAAAATATATAACACATAAATAGCTTATTTTGCTATTCAAATAAACAATTAATTTAATAATAAGAGAAGTAATATGTGATCGTATTAAAATGCATAAAATGTCGTGTTAATTCATGTACCAATTGCATTCAGTTGAAATATAAAAAAAAATTCGAAATGCAAATTGGAATTTCGACAATACAATAATGACGATAACAATAATAACTATATGATACATTTACTTGAAGAACAATTATTGGTTAAACACAAAAAAAGAAGTGATGTTTTTTGGATTTTTGAAAGGACACCAATAATTATTTAAACAAATTTCTTTAAAAAAAGAAAATGATTTTCGTAATAGCTATGTCAAGGACATCATGAAATATTTTTTCTTCTCTGCTACGTAGTAAAGAGAACAAGACACAACAACACCTCATTATGCATTCTAAATAATTATCAATTCTAAACAGTAGTACAAGTTGTAAAACACTTACATGAAGATAGTAGCATAATTATAGTACCAATAGAACGATAAATTAAAAATTTTCTTTCCCCCTAGAAATATGGATATTACCGAACACATACTAGTAAAAATATATTTCACGTAACTATAAAGATACATGTATCTTCACAAAGATTACAAGATGGTAGATATGTCTTCAATTTTTTAATTCTGAAGGATATGCGTAGTGGAGTATATTAATCGCAAACCTCAGCAGCCAGTTTTCGATCGTTGTGTAGGATGCATGACAAAAGCAGCACGCAATGTGTTATGGTGTAATCGTCAGTGAAGTCAATCGATTTTATTCACGTCCAAGTTAGTCTAAACAACGTTTCTATAGAAAAAGAATATGTCCAGGCGTAGAAAATAAAAATATTCGTTAGTTAAGTTTAAACATGTCTCAGCGATAATATTGAAACTAATCAATATTTACATATATATGAATATATATATAAATATATATATAATACGACATACACAATGGATAAAATTTTTATAAAAAAATTTCTGCACGTAACTATTCAAAACTTTCGATATATTTAATTCCAGTGACTACAATTTTCTATTCTCAGAACAAAAGAGATAGTCGAATAATGATCATAATAATACTTTACAGATAAATATTGGCCAAAATAAGGTAAAGTTAATGTACACTGCGGTATACCGATGCGAAAGAGAATGCTTTTTGCAATAACTAAAATAAAAGATTCTTTTTTAAGATAATGAAATTTAATATCTATGATTTATCATCCTCCACTTACCCCTGAGAATGCTTGATGTGACATAACGGACATGCCGCCGATTGAAAGCATGCATGGCTTCGACCATCTCAATATCATAAATAACAGTAATTTTTGAACTCTTATTGAAAGAATATAGAATGGTATTTTACACCTGCAAAATAATAATTGATCTTTAAAACAACATATAAATTAATAGCTTCTACGTATAGACTAATCATAAAGAGATAGTTTTCTAATTAATGTTACGTATCACTTTAGATATATAAGAAACAAATGAAATAAATATTTCATATTATTCAATAAAAAACTCACAATTCTTCGCGAGCTTCTTCGCTATGGTTTATAAGCGTCTGTCCAATATAAAAATTAATAAATGTAACAAATATAGAGCATGCAATGTAGAAACTACATTCGATAATTTGAGTTATATTTTCCCTCAAAGATGAAACTTGAAATATCTAAAAGGAAAGAAAAAATGTTTTAAATTCCCTTTTTGCAGATGACTTAAGTAAACATTGATTGCAAGGAAATATATTAGATCTCCAGAATCCAGTCTCTTAATTTGTTCCAGTTGGAGGACATAATGTGGAGAAATTGCTACAGTCGATTGTTAACGAATCTTTTCTTTTCAATCTCATATAATATCATTAAAAAAGGAACGATTTATTTCTCAAGGAAAAAAAATGATTATAATTGTATATACAAAGCAATTTCAAAACATTCCACCAAATTAATATATACGATCTAATTACTTACATTAGAGTAATTTTATTTAAAAAGAACTTATAATAAAAATATTTAAAAGAATTAAAGTTAATAAGAAAAAACGGAATTTTAAACAAGAATGTATTACTACAAAATTACTCGATGTTGTAGAATACAATCATAACGATAGAGAAATTAAAATATTATCTAATTCTATCACCCCATTTATCGTAAAAGATAATTACATACAAAAAACTTACATACAGAAAATCCAATATAATGAAGAGCATAATAAAGAAAATTTCAATTAAGTAAATTCCCTTTGTACTAGAGTTGAGAAAATCAACGTATCTTAAACAAAGACAATAATAAAAAAAATGTATTTTAAATCACGTTCATTCAGATGGATATTCCGATAAAATGAACTAATATTCCGAACTTACTTCATGATCCTCTCATGACGCTTTATTACGTCGACTATCCAATTGAATTCATTCCAAATTTGATTAAATTTCTGAGGTTCTCGAAAAGGATGGCCAATTATCAATCTGCAATGAGTATATTATAAAATAACATTATAATACATAAGATAAGACTAAACGATTATTAATTTAAACGATTACATCCATACCTTATAACGCTTAATTGACAACATGCGTGATTTATCAATACCAAATAAGTTGAAAAACATATAATTGCTATAGATATTGATATATAGATTTCTGTTGTTTGATAAATAAGTAAACTGTAATATATCGGTCCAAGGTTTAAAACATTATCAATAGGAATGGGTAAACTTAAATTAACATTTCCCAAAGTACCAAATTGATATGAAAAAATACTTAAGAAGCAGGGAGTTATTGTTGCAAGAAAATACAGATTGAAGATAACTACAAAAAGAAAACATACATACAAAAATTTAATTGTAGTATTGCATATTCGGATTTTGCTGTAGTATTTCACTTCCGTACCCACGATAGAAAACGTATATAGTTTACTCTCTTTAATATATTTTTCCGTAATATAGAATTCATATTGATTAGATATATGCTCGTAGTCAAATTTAATACAAGAAATAATTGCTTTCATCTGAAAGTAAATTTTGTTTCTACTTATTTAAATCAATTTTCATCCATTGGAAAAAATATAATAAGTTTAAAATAAATAATACGAACTTGTACGTATTTAAAGTAATAATTACTGTAAGTATACAGAAAACATATAGCTGCGAACATATATTGCAGTACTTTGATAGTTCTTGCTAGAGGGACTTCTGAAATGGCGAGCTGATAAAACTGAAGTCAAAAAATCTTTATAATGTTTCATTATTGTCAATCTATGAGTTCTTATTCGCTCAACACACTGTAATACTTATTTAAACCAATTATATTTGACATTAATTTAAATAAACCCGCAATAAAAAACAATGATTATTATAATTCTAATAGGCATAATCAGGTACAAATTAACGAAAAATATATTTACTTGGTGTGCTACTCCTGGAAATAAATAAATAGTTATGATACACACTTGAAACAACAGATCTCTCGAATTTTGATAAGGTCTCAAACCCATAGTATATTGAAACAATTTGTTCGAAAAAAGAAAATGTTGCTCGAAGTAGGTAAGACCGCTCGCTACAGACATAATGAATATTCTGACGAAAATTGCAACGAGGTAAACACCACACATCACGGTTCTTCCTTATTGCGCATTCAAATTGACGTTCATTATAGTCTATAGAACGATTTGGAAAACAATGAAAGGAAAATAATGTAAATGTCGATCGAATCTATAGCAACAATTCGCATAATATATTCCTCTCAAACATTAACGTAGTATTGAACCCTTCCCGATACGAGTCAAGTACATAAAAACATATGTTGGTTCACGCAATTAAACGAGAGGAGTGATTGTTGCCTCTTTTCATAATGAAAGACATGCGCAATGTGGTTTGTCGAACTGCAATCTTCTCAGTCGTCGTTCGACCGCGGAATAAGATACATGCTAAACCAGGCGTTACGAGGAAATAGTCAGTGAAGTGAAATCGATATTATTGACAAGAGTAAAAGTATGTCGTAAGCTACACGGAAATAAGAAAAATAGTAATCGATTATTTCGACTACCTTATGGGACATTTTCATTGAAATCAAATATAAGATTTGATGAATATTTATATTTAAAGCAATCGATATGTAGGAAAATTTATTGATAATGAAGTTAATCTATTACGAAACTGATAAGATGTTTCTTAATGTAAAAATATTGTGCCACTGTAAAATGTAAATAACTAATCTTCTGTGATAAAATTCAGTGAGTTCTTTAAATGTCGTTGTTAATTTCATCGGAACAAAAATGAAGAGAGATATTTTGACTTAAATTGTTCTTAAGCATAATGTAATTTTCAATAATAATGATAGTCGATCTATATGCAACAAATAATAGTAGACACATTTTATTTGTGCGGGAGGAAAGAAGTTCTTTTATTCGTATTAACAAATCATTGCATTTCATTTACCTAAAATAAATTTTGCAGTTAGTATGCACTTTAATATACATTTACAAAAGAAAATGTTTTTTACATTAACAAAAATAAAATATCGTTAATTAAAATAAATAAAGTAATTAATAGAATCTATAATTGTATGATGTTTTTCCGGAAAATAATTACTGAGATGAGGCAAATAAATTATGGAATGAAAGCCTGCACGGACTTATGCTTCTTGCTATTACGAATAACGAGACCATTTGATTTTTTACACAAAAAGAATAGAATGAATTTTTATCTCGGTATAAATATCTTTAAGTAAGCTATTTACAAAAATTCTTCACCAAAATTAAAAGATGGTGGATATGACTTCAATTTTTTAATTCTGAAGAATATGCGTAGTGAAGTATATTGATCGCGAACTTTCGCTGTCAGTTTTCGATCGTTGTGTAGTATGCACGATACAAACAGCACGCACTGTGTTACGAGGTAACCGTCAGTGAAGTCTATCGATTTTATTCACGTTCAATATTCGTCGAGACAACGTTTCTATAAAAAAGGAAACGTCTGGGCGTACAAAATAAAAATATTCGTTAGTTAATTTTAAAAGTGCGATTATCTTGAAAGCTGTTGACATATGAATATATATAAAAGTATATATAATAACCATGCATAATGGATAAAATTTTTATAAAAAAATTTTTGCACGTAACTATTCAAAAGTTTCGCTATATTTAATTCTATTGACTACAATTTTGTATTCTCAGAAGGAAAGGGATGGTCGAATAATGAAGATAATAATACATCACAGATTTATATAAATAAGGTAAAGTTAATGTATATTGCGGTACACCGATGCGAAAGAGAATGCTTTTTGCAATAACTAAAATAAAAGAATCTTCTTTAAGATAATGAGATTTAATATCTATAATATATCTTTTTCCACTTACCCCAACGAATGCTTTATGCGACGATACGAATAAATCTCCGATCGAAAGCACGCATGGCTTCGACCATCTCAATAACATAAATAACAACAATTTTTGAACTCTAATTGAAAGATTATAGAATGGTATTTTACACCTGCAAAATAATATTTTATCTTTTATACAACACATAACTTAATAACTTCTACGTATAGACTAATTATAAAAAGATACTTTTCTAATTAATGTTACGTATCACTTTAGTTGCACTTGAAACAAGAGAAATAAATATTCCATATTATTCAATAAAAATCTCACAATTCTTCGCGAGCTTTTACGCTATGGTTTATAAGCGTCTGTCCAATATAAAAATTAACAAATGTAACAAATATAGAGCATGCAATGTAGGAACTACATTCGATAAGTTGGCTTATATTTTGAACCATCGATGAAAATTGAAATATCTAAAAGCAAAGTAAAGATGTTTTAAATTTCTTTTTTCAGATGACTTAAGTAAACATAAACTGCAGGAAAATATATTAAATCTCTAGAATTCATTATTTTGACACGTTAATAAAGAAAAACATAATACGGTGAAATTAGGAAAAATTCTAAATTAATTATAATTGCCTGTAAAAAACATTTTCGGAACGATCCTTCTTAATAATACATACGATGTAGTTATTTACAATAGAATAATTATATATGAAAAAGAATTTATAATAAAAATATTTAGAAGAATTAAAGTTAATGAAAAGAAAAACGGAATTTTAAACATTTCTAAGAATACGAGAATGTATTACTACAAAATTTCTTTTGTGTTAGTAAATATAATCCTAACGATACAGATATTAAAATATTTTCTAATTCCACCACCTCATTTATCACATATAAATTACTTACACATAAAAAATCCAATATAATGAAAATCATAACAAATGAAATCACGACTATATGAATTCTTTTTGAAAAAGAGTTGAGCAATGTAATATATCTTAAATAAGAATAAAAAAATAAAATATATGTATTATACATCACATTGATTAAGATGGACACTTCAATAAAATAGACGATAATTGTGAACTTACCTCAAGATCCTTTCATGACACTGTATTATGTCCACGATCCAATCAAATTCATCCATAATTTGTTTAAATTTCTGTGGATTTAGAAATGGATGTCCAATTTTTAATCTGCAATAAGTAGTTTGTTAAATAATATTAAAATACATAAGAAAAACTAAACGATTCTGAGTCATCATTGTACCTTATAACTCTTAATTGACAACACGCGTGATTTACGAATACCAAATTCATTGAAAAACATATGATAGCTATAGATATTAATATATAGATTCCTGTTGCTTGGTAAATAAGTAAACTGTAATATATCGGTCCAAGGTATAAAACATTATTAATTGGAATGGGTAAAGTTAAATTAGCATTTTCCAATGTACCAAATTGATATGAAAAAATACTTATAAAGCAAGGGGTTATTGTTGCAAGAAAATACAGGTTGAAGATAACTACAAAAAAACATACATACATAAATTTAATTGTAGGTATTGCGTATCCCGATTTTCATGTAGTATGTTATGTCCGTACCTAGGATAGAAAACATATATAGTTTGCTCTGTTTAATATATTTTTCCGTAATATCGAATTCGTATTTATTAGACATATGCTCGTAATCAAATTTAATATGAGAAATAATTGATTTTATCTGAAAGTAAATTTTTTTTCTAATTATTTAAATCAATTTCCATTCATTGAAAAAAATATAATAAGTTTAAAATAAATAATACGAACTTGTACGTATTTAAAGTAATAATTACTGTAAGTATACAGAAAACATATAGCTGCGAACATATATTGCAGTACTTTGATAGTTCTTGCTAGAGGGACTTCTGAAATGGCGAGCTGATAAAACTGAAGTCAAAAAATCTTTATAATGTTTGATTATTGTTATTCTACGAGTTCCTTTAATAAAAAATTATTTATAGATGACTATACCATCTATGCTCAATGCAAAATATTTATTCACACACTGATCATTTAATTTTATACGCTCAACGCACTGTAATCTTGATTCAAATCACTCATACTTCAAATTAATTTGAATCTACTTGCAAAACAATAATAATAAATACAATAATTATAATAAGCATTATCATTATTAAAGAAAAATACATTTACTTGGTGTGCTATTATTGGAAATCCATAAAGAACAACTGAACATACTTGAATCAAGAGATCATCTGAACTTTGATAAGGTCTCAAACCCATAGTACATTGAAAAAATTTATTCGAAAAAAGAAAATGTTGCTCGAAGTAGGTAAGACCGCTCGCTACAGACATAATGAATATTCTGACGAAAATTGCAACGAGGTAAACACCACACTTCACGGTTCTTCCTTATTGCGCATTCAAATTGACCTTCATTACAGTCTATAGAACGATTTGGAAAACAATGAAAGGAAAATAATGTAAATGTCGATCGAATCTATAGCAACAATTCGCATAATATATTCCTCTCATACATTAACGTAGTATTGAACCCTTCCCGATACGAGTCAAGTACATCGAAACATAAAAACATATGATGGTTCACTCAATTAAACGAGAGGAGTGATGGTTGCCTCGTTTCATAATGAAAGACATGCGCAATGTGGTTTGTCGAACTGCAATCTTCTCAGTCGTCGTTCGACCGCGGAATAAGATACATGCTAAACCAGACGTTACGAGGAAATAGTCAGTGAAGTGAAATCGATATTATTGACAAGAGTAAAAGTGTGTCGTAAGCTACACGGAAATAAGAAAAATAGTAATTGATTATTTCGACTACCTTATGGGACATTTTCATTGAAATCAAGTATAAGATTTGATGAATATCTATATTTAAAGAAATCGATATGTAGGAAAATTTGTTGATAACGAAGTTAGACTATTACGAAACTGATAAGATGTTTCTTAATGTAAAAGAACTGTGCCACTGTAAAATGTGAATAACTAATCTTCCGTGATAAAATTCAGTGAGTTCTTTAAATGTCGTTGTTAATTTCATCGGAACAAAAATGAAGAGAGATATTTTGACTTAAATTGTTCTTAAGCATAATGTAAATTTCAATAATAATGATAGTCGATCTATATGCAACAAATAATAGTAGACACATTTTATTTGTGCGGGAGGAAAGAAGTTCTTTTATTCGTATTAACAAATCATTGCATTTCATTTTCCTAAAATAAATTTTGCAGTTAGTATGCACTTTAATACACATTTACAAAAGAAAATGTTTTTTACATTAACAAAAATAAAATATCGTTAATTAAAATAAATAAAATAATTAATAGAATCTATAATTATATGATGTTTTTCCGGAAAATAATTACTGAGATGAGGCAAATAAATTATGGAATGAAAGCCTGCACGGACTTATGCTTCTTGCTATTACGAATAACGAGACCTTTTGATTTCTTACATAAAGAGAATAGAAAGAATTTTTATCTCGCTATAAATATCTTTAAGGAAGCTATTTACAAAAATTCTTCACCAAAATTAAAAGATGGTGGATATGTCTTCAATTTCTTAATTCTGAAAGATATGCGTAGTGGAGTATATTGATCGGAAATTTCTCAGCCAGTTTTCGATCGTTCTGTAGTATGCACGATACAAACAGAACGCAGTATGTTACGAGGTAACCGTCACTGAAGTCAATCGATTTTATTTACGTCAATATTCGTCTAAACAATGTGTCTATGAAAAAAGAAAATGTTAAGTAGTGGAAAATAAAAATATTCGTTAGTTAATTCTAAGTGCCCAGCTATAATATTGAAACTAATCAATATTTACATATATATGAATATATATAAATGTATATATAATAAGACATACAGAACGGATAAAATTTTTATAAAAAAATTTCTGCACGTAACTATTCAAAAGTTTCGATATATTTAATTCCAATTTTCTATCCTCAGAAGAAAAGAGATAGTCGAATAATGATCATAATAATACTTTACAGATTTATATTGGCCAAAATAAGGTAAAGTTAATGTACACTGCGGTATACAGATGCGAAAGAAAATGCTTTTTGGAATAACTAAAATATAAGATTCCTTTTTAGGATAATGAAATTTAATATCTATGATTTATCATCTTCCGCTTACCCCTGAGAATGCTTGATGTGACATAACGGACATACCACCGATTGAAAGCACGCATGGCTTCGACCATCTCAATAACATAAATAACAACAATTTTTGAACTCTTATTGAAAGATTATAGAATGGTATTTTACACCTGCAAAATAATATTTTATCTTTTAAACAACACATAACTTAATAGATTCTACGTATAGACTAGTTATAAAAAGATACTTTTCTAATTAATGTTACGTATCACTTTAGATACATAAGAAACAAATGAAATAAATATTTCATATTATTCAATAAAAAACTCACAATTCTTCGCGAGCTTCTTCGCTATGGTTTATAAGCGTCTGTCCAACATAAAAATTAACAAATGTAACAAACATAGAGCATGCAATGTAGGAACTACATTCGATAATTTGAGTTATATTTTCCCTCAAAGATGAAATTTGAAATATCTAAAAGCAAAGAAAAAATGTTTTAAATTCCCTTTTTGCAGATGACTTAAATAAACATAGATTGCAAGGAAATATATTAGGTCTCTAAAATCCAGTCTCTTAATTTGTTCCAGTTGGAGGACATAATGCGGACATAATGCGGAGAATTAACAGTCGATTGTTAACGAATCTTTTTTTTTCAATCTTATATATTATCATTAAAAAAGGGACGATTTATTTCTCAGGGAAAAAAATGATTATAATTGTATATACAAAGCAATTTCAAAACATTCCTCCAAATTAATATATACGATTTAGTTACTTACATTAGAGTAATTTTATCTAAAAAGAACTTATAATAAAAATATTTAAACGAATTAAAGTTAATAAGAAAATACGAAATTTTAAACATGAATGTATTACTACAAAATTACTCGATGATGTAGAATACAATCGTAACGATAGAGAAATTAAAATATTATCTAATTCTATCACCCCATTTATCGTAAAAGATTTACATACAAAAAACTTACATACAAAAAATCCAATATAATGACGAGCATAATAAAGAAAATTTCAATTAAGTAAATTCCCTTTGTACAAGAGTTGAGAAAATCAACGTATCTTAAACAAAGAAAATAATGAAAAATATGTATTTTAAATCACGTTCATTCAGATGGATATTCCGATAAAATGAACGATTATTACGAACTTACTTAATGATCCTTTCATGACGCTTTATTACGTCGACAATCCAATCAAAATCATTCCAAATTTGAATAAATTTCTGGTGTTCTCGAAAAGGATGGCAAATTTTCACTCTGCAATAAATATATTGTAAAATAACATTGTAATACATAAGATAAGACTAAACGATTATTAGTTTAAACGATTACATCCATACCTTATAACGCTTAATTGACAACATGCGTGATTTATCAATACCAAATACGTTGAAACACATATAATTGCTATAGATATTAATATATAGATTTCTATTGCTTGGTAAATAAGTAAACTGTAATATAACGGCCCAGGATTTAAAACATTATTAATAGGAAAGGGTAAAGATAAATTAACATTTTCCAATGTACCAGGTTGATATGAGATAACATTTAAGAAACAGGGTGTTATTGTTGCAAGAAAATAAAGATTAAAGATAACTACAAAAAAACATATATACATAAAATTAATTGTAGTATTGCGTATACCGATTTTCATGTAGTATGTTATGTCCGTACCTAGGATAGAAAACGTATATAGTTTGCTCTGTTTAATATATTTTTCCGTAATATCGAATTCGTACTTATTAGACATATGATCGTAATCAAATTTAATATGAGAAATAATTGATTTTATCTGAAAGTAAATCTTTTTTCTCATTTATTTAAATCAATTTCCATCCATTGAAAAAAATATAATAAGTTTAAAATAAATGATACGAACTTGTACGTATTTAAAGTAATAATTAATGTAAGTATAGAAAAAACATATAGCTGCAAACATATACTGCAGTACTTTGATAGTTGTTGCTAGAGGGACTTCTGAAATGGCGAGCTGATAAAACTGAAATCAAAAAATCTTTATAATGTTTGATTATTGTTATTCTACGAGTTCCTTTAAAAGAAGATTATTTATAGATAACTATACCATCTATGTTTAATGCAAAATTTTTATTCACACACTGATCATTTAATTTTATTCGCTCAACGCATTGTAATTTTGATTCAAATTACTTATATTTGAAATTAATTTGAATCAACTCGCAAAACAATAATAATAAATGCAATAATTCTAATAGGCATAATTATGTAATGATTAAAGAAAAATACATTTACTTGGTGTACTATCATTGGAAATCCATAAAGAACAACTGAACATATTTGAACCAAGAGATCATTTGAATTTTGATAAGGTCTCAAACCCATAGTATATTGAAAAAATTTATTCGAAAAAAGAAAATGTTGCTCGAAGTAGATAAGACCATTCTCTACAGACATAATGAACAATCTAACGAAAATTGTACCGAGGTAAACACCACGCTCCACGCTTCACCCTTATTGCGCATTCAAATTATACTTCATTATATTCTATAGAACGATTTGGAATACAATGAAATGAAAATAGTGTAAATGACGATCGAATCTACAGTAATAATACACATAATGCATTCTTCTCGTACATTTCCATATTATTGAACCCTTCCCAATATGAGTCAAATACATCGAAACATAAGAACAAATGGTGCTTCTCAGCAAAAGTGGGGAGTTGGAGTTGCTACTTTTCATACCGAAAGACATGCGCAGTGTGGTTTATTGATCAGCATTCTTCTCAGTCGCTGTTGAACCGCGGAATAAGTCATATGCTGAAACCGGCCGCAGAACGATGTAAGGAAACAGTTAGTAAAATTCAATCGATTATATTGACAAGATGGTGGATCATTTGTTCTACTGTTCGCAAAAATTCAATCAAAAACGCAGAAAAAAAATTTCTTTTGTAGAGCGAAAGTGCAAAATATTTTTAAAGTGTCACAGTGGATCTAGCGAAGAAGATCGATATCTGTTTACCTACGTAAAATTAAATATGCGAAATAAATGGAATTTTGATAAAAATTATGCACCATTATGTCTGGTATGTATTATACGATTCAGTACATTTTTGTATTATTAGTAGGAAAGAGTGATAACAATAATTTATAGATTATTAGGTAAATTGAGATAAAGTTAGTGAACACTATGATATGCCATTGCGAAGGAAAACGCTTTCCGCATG